GGTAGACTAGGGATAGTTTACTCTGTCCTCTATGCCCTTATAGTTGTGTGAATTCTCTTATTGTTGTGATATCCCTTTTTGCCTTTACTATTGAGAATCTCTTATGTTTCTTGTGGATGCATGTGTTGTGTAACTCAGTAATGTATGCTAAATGGTTGGAGTATTTTTGCCTTGTAGGTGGAGCAGTTGCATAAAATTTTCAAGCTTTGTGGCTCACCTTCTGAAGATTATTGGAGGAAATCAAAGTTGCCTCATGCAACCATATTTAAGCCCCAACAGCCTTATAGACGCTGTGTTGCAGAAACTTTTAAGGACTTCCCTGCACCAGCTCTAGCACTTATGGATATCCTTCTTTCTATAGACCCTGCAGATCGTGGATCTGCAGCTTGTGCTCTCAAGAGCGAGGTTTAGATCTTAAGTCATATATGATATCTTCTTACTGTCATTCTTTTTGCTGCGCAGTACTTGAGTTATCTTGATATTTCCTTTCGGGCAATGCTTGGCTCCTGATATTCCTCCTCAACACATGATGTGGCCTCCTCAAAAAACGACACATGTTTCTTTTTTTATTCTGTTTTTTTTGTTTCACTGACTCTCCCGCTCTCTCTTCTCACCCACTCTCCTCTCCTCCCCCAGCCCTCTCTTCTCTCATCTCCCCGTCTCTAACTCTTCCCCTGCAACTCTTTAGAAGAAATTTTCAGCCCCTTTCTCTTCCCATCGCTGCTCCTCCATCATCATCACCCAAACACTATGTATTGATTTCTCTCCTTTTTAATTTTTAATTTTATTGAGTTATTTATTGGGGAGTTTTGGAAATTTTGGGAATGGTGGAAGAAAGAGATGGAGAGAAGAGAGAGCACAGGAGGAGAGGAGAGGCGAGTGGGTGAGAAGAGAGAGAAAGAGAGAGTCAGTGAAAGAAAAAAACAGGTGTCATTTTGTAAGAGGCCACATCTTGTATTGAGGAGGAATGGCTCCTGATATATCAGGAGCCAAGCATTGTCCTTTCCTTTCACCCCATTCTAGATCTCTATGTTTGTGCCTGTGCATGCTTACCCGTGTGCAGTAGAGCAGTATATCGTGTTTTTGTGCTTTCAGTCTGTTGCTTTTGTGTGGTGATTTGAAAAATACAACTATACTATGTTTAAGTCATTGTTATTAAGTTCACTCATTAAGGCCTCCTCTCTTTTTCTTCCATCTAATAACAGCTACTTCTTAACTCTGCAGATCATGTTAAGTGAACCACCCAGATTGCATCAAGTTTTTTTTTTGTTTTTGGTTTTTCGTATTCTTGACTATACTTTTAAAATAGTTATAGGCCACAATGAGTTTTCATCTGATAACTATTTTGATTTTATAATCATCCTACTTAAAAGCATATTTTGAAAAGTTTTCAAGCATAAATTGCTTTGTTGTTTCCTCATGTGTTATCCTTTTCCTTTTGTTTTTTCACAGTTCTTTACAACAAAACCTCTTCCTTGTGATCCATCAAGTTTGCCAAAGTATCCTCCGAGCAAAGAGTTTGATGCTAAAGTACGGGATGAGGAAGCTAGAAGGTGAATATTGTGACATAATCTTTGCTACAAGTTGAAAATTATTCTTTCTCAAATTATTGTTACAAGGCACTGCACCATACATCACGCGTGTGTTTTTTAAACTACTTATGTGTGTGGCATGAAAGCTAATGGTTCATGCACCATGAGGCCTTCCTGTGAGTCCAGGCACACTTGATGCATGGTTCCTGTGGGTGAAGTTTTGCTAATGTGGTTTTATCAAAGAGCTTCTAGAAAGAGGTTGTTTGGTTCTTGTCATTAAATAAAGGGAAAATACTGACACTTAATGGTCGTCTGTGCTCAAAACGTATCATGGCATGGTTAGGCTTGAGTGGAATCATATGAGTCTGGACTCTGGAGTTTGCCAAAAACAACTAAATTTGTGTTTTTCACTAGTTGGGTTATAGTTGTTATACAATTTTAAGGTACATGGTTATGATTCAATGGTCTCATTTGTGAAGTGCATTAGTGTAAATATATTATTTTTAATTTGATGGTGTGAACTTAAGAGTTTACGTTCATGGGGTTAGGTTTGTATTTTTTTAGAAGTTGTGCTCACACACTGATGATTATTGGCTCAATTCTTTCTACTCTTTTTTTACAGATTCAGTTTGTGTGGAGTGCAGTGAGCTTAGTATTAGTTTTCGTCTTATAACTATTGTTTTATCCTCTTCAACTCTTACCTCTGCTTAGTGAGGTTGGTGTATATAGTAATGATCTTTTTCGCACATGGATAGACAAGGAGCAGCAGGAAAGGGCCAAAGGGTTGACCAGGAAAGGAGAGGAACTAGAGAGTCTCGAGCCATACCAGCACCTGATGCCAATGCGGAATTAGTCTTGTCAATGCAGGTAACCTGATGTTATTTTAACTAAAAATCACTCATTTATCTCCACTATTGATTTATGTTGTAATTGGTCATGTATGGTGATATGTTCTGATTGCCACTTTGCTTTTAACACGTGCTTGTAATATACAGATGACATATTCAATTTGCTGTTATTGTAGGGAAGCTGTTGGGGAATAATATCCTCTCCTTTTCTATTTATTCTTTAAGATTCATGGGTTATTTCAAGTCTTTTACTCTTCAAAGGGGCTTTTATGGTCAACCCAAATGTTCACTTGAGTTATAAATACCCAAGCTTACCTTGCCTATTCTGCCAATGCAATTAACTCCACATAGCATCAATGGTCTTGCTAACTACATACATTCTTTTTCTACAACAATGGAATGTTGTGCTTTAACGCTTTCAGATTATTGAAATAATTTTTTCATTTACAATTTTAGGTGATCCACATTGCATGTTACTATCAAGTACATGTGTCGGGACTCATTTGTTTATTGAGGGCCCTTTTATAGTTTATACAAGACTACTATTATGCCTCTATTCAATGTTGTTTATTAAATTACGTCATATGGGATATATTTCAATAGAAGGATTTCTTTTTACAGAAAAGGCAAGACAATTCGAAGAGCCGGAGTGAGAAGTTTAACCCTCATCCAGAAGAAGTTGCTTCTGGCTTTCCAATTGATCCACCGAGGCCATCACAAGCTGTAGATTTAAGTGTAGAAAATCACGGACATAACCATAAGAGAGCTTCCCATTCAGGGCCATTGGCTCACCGTGCTGCATGGGCAAAGTCTACTAAGAACCCAGATGATGCTCCAAAGGTTTCAACTGGAGCTGACTTGTCAACAATGTCAGGTTTAGTGGCAGCAAGGAGGAGTATGTTATCTGAAGAACGCAGAAAGAGGTCTAGTTCTTCACAAATGGAAGGTCCAAAAGTAATAGGCAGGTTTCCAGGTTCGTTCAAGGAGGCCTCAGATCCTTTACCAAAAGATCAAAAGCAGGCCATCGTAGGTTCTCGTCAAAAAGAAGATGTTAGAAGCAACAAAGATCCAATTATTGTGAGTAGTTGAACTCGTGTTTTTTTTCTTTCCGCGTGATGGATTTCCTCATTACTTTTCTGCAGTATTGCATCACTTAATCCATCTTGTGACTAGGACTGCGCTATTTACCTTCACAAAATTATGTACGTTTGCTAGTAAACATGTACATCTTTTGGTTTACAAATATACATTAGGAGTTTATTGTTGTAAAGGGGAATTTCGCATTTATTGGACTCTTTGATTTAAAATTCACTTCTGTAAGGTACCAAGGGTTGTAATTTGTTTGAGGTTCAGTGGCTTTTCTTTTTGGTTTGTGTTTTGTTTTTTTGTATTCATTCTTCTTATTGCCTGATACAGCATTATTGTTTCTGGTTATTTCAGGTTGGCTATGGATCAAAGGGTCACAAAATGCACTATTCAGGTCCGTTGCTAGTCCCCTCTGGCAACATGGATCAGATGCTGAAGGACCACGATCTCCAGGTCCAAGAAGCTGTTAGACGAGCACGCCTAGAGAAGGCAAAGGTCAGAAAATTTCAAGCTGAAGGGAACCAAATATCCACCAATTCATTATTTGTTTCTGGTCGTTGAGCCTGTTTAAGTAGACCCGAAAGCAGAGCATCATCAGGAAAATCACTGCAGATAATTTGCTGGTTTTCTCTTGTGAAATATGAGTTATTCATTGAAGGGGTGGGGTGCTTTTCTTTTTTTGTATAGGGGGGGCACCCGTGGAAGAATAGCTGGTGTCCATTTTCAACTAAGTTTATAGCTTAGAACACACGCTCTCTCTTACTTGTATCTTTTTTCCCCCTTGCTTCTAATATATGGCCCATTATTGTAGAGGAATTGTTATAAGCCATAAGCTGTGGAGTATGTGGGAAATATGAAATTGTCTTCTGTAATGAAAAGAGTAAGATGTTGCATTCTTCATACTTGTGTCCGGATTGTCAATCTGTCTTATTCTCAGTGATCAGGTTGGTAATTAACCACCTTCCCCCTTTATTGATTTCATTTTTGGAGAAAAATGGTAAGTGGGAATCTGTCTAGTCTTTTGGAGTTCACATTTCTGAATTCTCATTTCTCATGTAATTATGACTTCCAATTTTCTCACAGCTTGACTAATTCTGTATGCATCAGTAAAAGTTAGTGCAGCATTTCCTAACCCTTTAATTTTAAATAATATTTTGTCTTGAAAACAAAGAATACCCTGAATATTACCCTAAGTCGTGGTCTTGCCTTTATTGAGTTAGGGAGACGGGCACTATAAGGTTGAAAATTTTATCTGGTTGTGTTGACTTCTCATTGGCAATTTGGCATTGAAAAACTTTAGTTGGGATGCCTGTTTTTTGTTTTTTTTAATCTGACAAAGGAAAGGGAGAGCATTCATAAATCACGGCGCTAGAGACACACAAATGTTGACAATTCAAATTTGGAAATATTAATTTTGGAATATTTTTGCTGCTTCTAGAAGAATAGTCAGCTACTATATATTCAACTCCTGGATGCTGATGTAGAAGACACAAGTAGGTTTGCTGCTTCTGCTGGAGATCTAGAGTTCTAAACAATGCGGTCTTTTCAATTACTTGTGCTGTTCCTGACCAAACTCTTTCTCCTTCAATTTACTTTTGCAGTTGATTTCTCTTTCACTGGTTTCAATTCGTCTGATATCTTGCTCTATGGAAATGCAACCATAGATTCTGGTGTTCTTTCTCTTACAAGAAATACCACGTTTTCCATTGGTAGAGCTCTCTACAATGCTAAGGTACACACAAGATATCCAAACTCCTCGAACCTCTTGCCTTTCACATCCTCCTTCACCTTTTCTATATCCCCATACAACGATTCTCTCCCTGGCCAAGGATTTGTCCTCATTTTCGTTCCTTCTACCGGCATCGAAGGTGCCTCTTCTTCCCAACATCTCGGTTTCTTGAACAGTACCAATGATGGTGATCCCAGAAACCATGCTTTTGGTGTCGAATTCGATGTGTTTCGAAACCAAGAATTCAATGATGTTAATGACAACCACGTTGGTGTTGATGTCAATTCTCTTACTTCTCTAGTTTCCTACAAAGCCGGGTATTGGCTTGGTGACAGTAACAACACTAATTGGTCATTCAAGGAAGTAAAGCTGAACAATGGAGCCAACTATCAAGCTTGGATTGAGTACTGGAACTACCAGCTCAGCATAACATTGGCTCCTGAAAATGTGAAAAAGCCAGAGAGACCTTTGATTCAGATTCCTCTTGATCTCTCTGATGTTTTTCTTGATGACATGTATGTTGGGCTCACTGCATCAACTGGGCAACTCATTGAAGACCATAAAATTCTGAGTTGGAGCTTCAGTAATTGAAGCTAGCAATGAATATGGGTTGAAATATTTGTACCTTTTTAGAAATAAAGTAAGGCTATTGACCTACCTAATTAAGCTGCCTTGGAGACATGGATCTCCATGTTTCTTGGTTAGCATAGATTTCATTTACTTTTTAGTTTATATCTTGTTTTCATTCTGTATATGCACAGTTCATGGTATTTGAGTGATTGTCTTTCTCTGCTCCTCTTGTGCTTATCTTGGTGAATTTATGTTTGTTATTTGGAGGGCAGCATTTGTTACTTGGCCCAAAGGTCACCAAACAGACATTTGAACGTGGCTTGTAGGGCATGCATATGTCCAATCACATATAATTCTTTCACCAATCGATCAAATAATATGGAAAGCTCCCTCTCTTTTATCTTGTTCCCTCTCTAATCCAACCACATCGGAGCAACTTTTCGTCACTTCTCTTCTCCACATTTTTCGAATCATTTCTCTTTTTCTTTTTATACACTTCTTACAAATATTTAAAACAGTTTTTTTTTATTTTTTTTATTTTAAGTATTGCTTTATTGCTTTCAATTTTTATTTTATTAATCAAGGAAAACATTCAAGTTATTCACCCGATTCTAGCGACCTAACTACACTTAGACTATTATCTTTGAGGGTAGTGATTACACGCCTTAACCTAAAACTCTTATTCCAATTAAGCTTAAGATGAAGTATTGATTTTTATACCTCAAAAGATAAGTATTTTACTGTAATTTTATTGATTTTATTTAATCTACTACGTGAACATAAACTATTTATGTCGTTGTATGATGTTTTGTAGGTGAAGTGACATCCGTCAACCAAAACTTTTCTGACAGATGCATCATGCAAATATGTTTCAATAAGTAAATGAATTGATTATCAGAACGAATTGCTAGTCTGTAGCGCCCACAGCCCTGTGGTCCAGAGCAAAGAACAACTTCCCATCCCTTGAAACAAAGCGAGGCATTCCCTTCATAAATAAAAATAGTAATAAATATCACAATAATTGTTTGATCAATTGGTTTTCTTTTTATTTATCCTATTAGCCTGCACTATATAATTGTTTTTTATTTTTATTTTATAACTACAACATACCTAGTTACTGATCCAAATTACCATTCCTTCAAAAGAATCCAAGAAGCTATCGCAAGGAAATTAATTTAAAAGGTCTGTGATTTTGATAATCCCCAAATGTGGTTACTTTAAGAGTGTGTGTTAGAATATAATTTTTTTTGAAGTTTGGAAGTTGGAATGGAATCTGATACTCAAACACCATATAACCCATTACATGGATGGACTATCAAATCAAAGCACTAATCAAATTCCTTATTGAAGAAACTAACACTTTTATACCAATCAAATCCTGAAAAGAGTTTAGACATCTCTTCTTTTACTACATTATCTGTTTCTTGTGGGGAGCTAGAATTTGAGGGCATGGATGTGTACAAAATATATAAAATGTTGGGGAGCTTTAAAAAGTATGGAGTGGACAAAATTTATGATCTCTTAATAATGGAGATGTGGGTGTGGGAAGTGCGTCCGCCTCTTTGTGTTTGAATTCGAATTTCCTTTCTTATAGATTATAGAAGTTTAAAGTATCGTTTTATAATTGACATTTTCAGTTTCGAAGAAGTGCCTAATTTATTTTGAAGTTTATTCTCAAAATGTTTCATAATAATAGTAAGAAATTATAGTTTGTATGACAATAATATATAACATGAAAAATAAACATTTTCCTCTATTTTTAGACCAAGTAATTAATCTAAAATGCATGGTAAAAGCTGCCCATTGTTTCGACATATACAAGCATGAGAAGATGACGACATGCCATTATGAGTGATGCAAGAAACAAGACTTTCTCATTCAGGTGCTTTTACAATTTGTCACAACTTAACTTTGTCCAAAAAGCATATATACTTTAATATCTCAACATAAAGAGGGGTTTCAAATGATGACAACTAACATGCCTAGAAAACAAAAATGATGAGAAGCAACTTGTTACTTTGATACCACAACACAATCTATATCTTCTACAATGAATCTATTTTCTGCACTGCAATAAGAGAGGGGGGGAAAAAGAAGTAGCATTTAGCAAACAGAAAAAGAAGAAGAAGAAAGAAAGCATCATCAAGCATAAAGACTTGCACTCAAATATTTATTGAAGCCATGACAAAGAAATATTTATTGAAGCCATGCCAATATTTAGTTAGTTGTACTTGTTATGACTGGTAGTTTGAGTCTGTTTTTAAGAGTTAGGTGTGTTGGGTTAATTTGTGTTTGGGTTAAGTCTTGTTTATTTTGGGGTGATTTAGGGTTTCTACCTTTGAGAGATATGAGAGTTCCTTTTGAGGGGTAGGTGAATCTGTGATGCAGATGGCACCCACAGATTAAGAGGCCAACCATTTTGTCCTATAAATTATGTGGCTTTTTAGAGGGCCATTAACCCTAATACGCTTGGCACTTCTCCTCCCTATTTTAATATTATCCCTTTCTTTTAGCTTTGGAAGGAACCACACCAATAATTATATTAAAGCAATTATAACCACACCAATTAGATTAAAGCAATCATAGTTTAATATAAATCACTAGTTTATCAACAGTTTGTCTATTGATAGTTTATTCACAAACTAATAGTTTATTACTCTGTTTTGAACCTTGTTAGAAAAAGTTCAGGACTTTCCTCTTTGGGAAAGAAATTATTTATTGCGTTTATTCACGTCGTTGCATGAGTTCTAATGTAACGTTCCAAATTTTTATAAAAGTGTTATAACTTATGTATATTCGTAACATCGCCTTAACATATCACGTGATATACAAAAAAATATCTCGTAAACTAGTATAAGATGAGCGCTATGAGCTTAAATGCTTATGACCCAAGTGATATATAGAAGTACCGAATTTAAATTTACCTAATTCTTATGATTTATAGAAGATTACACATATTCAAACTTTTGTTATCCAAAAAATTATTTAAACAAAAGTTACAAAACCCAGATGGTGTTTTATTTTATTTTGTTTCCTAGACATTTTTTTATTTTCATTCATGGCCCACAAGTTCTATCTAATTCACTGTTTGGCCTCCGGTCTCATTCAAGCAAGAGGCCTTTGTTGTGCCACGTTGGTAGTTTGGAATAAAGCGGGAAGATAAAGAAGATGGTAGTGCTGAGAGTTGAAAGAGTGGCCTCTCTCCGTTCTCAGACTCCAAAAAGAAGCAATAAAGTATTAATTTTTTTGATAGACCCAATAAGGATACACAGATAGGGAAAATGAGACTTACAAATATTGTTTTCATAAAAAAATATAATATACATACGGTCTGTGTTTTTTGTGGGGAGATTTTGTTTGTTTTCTTGTTGAGAAAATATTGGGAATTTATGAGGCTCTAGAGCTTCATTTGAGTAGCTCTGCTGTTTCTTCAGGTTGGCCTAGCAGAAACAGAAGACCCTTTTCATGGCGGTACTGGTAACTCTCTCTCTCTCTCTCACATGCAATATTCATGCTGGTGGGGTGTTTGACTTGTCTCTATATTTTGAACATTTGTTAAAATCTTTTTCTTCATGGGTTTTTGCTGGTGATGATTCTTGAGACAGTTTATTCTTAGAAATTGCATATATGTGACTGAATATGAATTGGGTTTTGTGAATCTTTTCTACTTTTTGTCAGATCATTCTTATTGCGTTGGTGGTAGAATGCTTGTATCTGTTTTCCATGATGGAATTTGCATAGTGAAGGTTCATAAAGTTACTTTTTTTATTGTGTCCAGCTGGAAATATGTCCTTGTTTGTGAAGTTATGATGCTTTGCTCGTGGGTCTTATCTGTTTGTGCCGCAGAAATGAGCTTCTGATTCAAGATGGTAATGGTGGAAGTGAGAGACTGTAATAGAAGTCGGAGAATTCCTCCATATCTTGGATGTGTGTGTTCTGGCTTTCATGCTGCTATAGGAGGATAACAATGGAAGGTTCATCTGAGTCTGCTTGGCAGAATTCTGATAGTTCTAGAGGATTGAATACTTCCGGAGTCTCAAACCGGAATCCCAGGATTGTTCATGCCGGAAGATTTGGCTTATCGGGTGATGCATCACAGGATTCTGATTTAAGAAAGGAGAGAGATAGGATTGTGGTGGCACACACTGATGACCTTAAAAACCAGGGTGGATTATCAGGGGTTTGTGAGGATGAGGGGGCAGTTGATCCTTTTGTCCGAGCTATTGAATGGGGTGATGTTAGCTTGAGGCAATGGTTGGATAAACCGGATCGATCTGTTGATGTATTTGAATGCGTGCACATATTTCGGCAAATAGTGGAAATTGTTCATGTAGCGCACTCCCAAGGAATTGTTGTTCATAATGTGCGGCCTTCCTGTTTTGTTATGTCATCTTTCAACCATGTCTCCTTTATTGAGTCTGCATCTTGTTCAGATTCTGGCACTGATTCTCCCGAGGACAGCCCAACTGCGGAAATTAAGGATTTTCCCTCTCCTTTGCATGGTGATTTGCATCAACAACAATGCAACTTAGGAAGACTAAATTTTCAATCGATGAGAACTTTAACAACTACCTTGTCAGAAACAAGTTGCATGCAGTCAAGTTCAATCTATGCAGCACGTGAATCGTTGGTACAAGAGAGTGAAGAAAATAGAACCAGAGACAGGAATGCTGAACTAGAAGATAAGAGACAACCATTTCCAATGAAGCAGATATTGCTTATGGAGAGCAGTTGGTACACTAGTCCCGAAGAGGTTTCTGGTGGTCCAAGTTTGTGTGCTTCAGACATTTACCGATTAGGAGTTCTTCTTTTTGAGGTTTGTGCTTCAAAGCTTTCAATTGTTTTATCTGTAGTATAAATTAAATAAGATCTTCAGATGCTTTCGATTAATCATTTTATATGATGTTAAAAGTTGATTTTGTGTAGAGTTCTTTTGTTTTTTTGTTTTTGTAGTCTAACATTATGGTGCCTGTGACCAGTTATTCTGCCCATTCAGCTCAAGAGAAGAAAAAAGCAGCACCATGTCTAGTCTGAGACATCGAGTTCTTCCTCCTCAATTGCTGCTGAAATGGCCAAAAGAAGCTTCGTTTTGCTTATGGCTACTGCACCCTGAGCCAAATAGTCGGCCTAAAATGGGGTGATTACTTCTTACGAAATACCTTTGATCTCTGGCTTTGATCTTTCTTTTTTTAAAGCCATTAGATTAGAAGCAAATATGAGAACAAGCCATTAAAGTAGTGTGGCTTGATAAGTGGAACTACATTTTTTAATTGCATTGACAAGTTCTTTGGTTGATTTGATGTTAAATGTTTTCTTGGCATATATGATAACTAGTTAGCAACTGCCTTGCATATGCAGTTTTATCTGATATGATGTAATTGGATTTTGGTGCCACAAGCTTCATGTGGTAATTGCTTTTGGTGGATGTTTAAACTGCATTACTTGTTTTTGTAATTGATTGAGTTTGATCCTTTGGTTTCGATTTCAGGAAGTAGTTCTAAGTACAAGATTCCATTTTACATTGTCTTGATACTTTGGTGTTGCATTTCATAAATCCCCTTGTATCTCTCCCTTAATTCTGCATCTAGTCCTCTTTCATTGACTTGTGAAAATAATTTTAATAGATAAGAAGCATGTGCTCTCTCTCTCTCTCTCTCTCTCTCTCTCTCTTTCCTGTTTATTTCTAATATGCACCATAGCTCCAACGTGGCCAAATACTTAAAGTTTTCTTTGCTATGTGTTTCAGTGAGTTGCAACAAAGTGAATTCCTTAATGAACCAAGAGATGATTTAGAAGAACGTGAAGCAGCAATAGAGCTGAGAGATAAAATAGAGGAGCAGGAATTGTTGCTGGAATTCCTGTTGCTTATACAACAAAGGAAACAGGATGCTGCAGATAAGTTGCAAAATACTCTTTCTGTTCTTTGTTCTGATATTGATGAAGTTATGAAGCACCGAATAATATCTAAGAAAAAAGGTAGTTCAGGCCCAGAACTGGTGAAGGAAGATCAGTCAACCTCAAGTTTCCCATCTATGAATATTAATGATGATGATGATTCTGCTAGTGGGTCCAGAAAACGATCCAGACCAGGCATCCGGCTTCACAACATAGAGGAATGTGATGATAATTTGGATTGTCAGAAGTCAGATACTGAAAATCAAGAAGGTACTCTTTTGAAAAGTTCTAGATTGATGAAGAACTTTAAAAAGCTAGAAGCAGCATATTTTTTGACAAGATGCAGGTCGGTCAAGCAGTCAGCCAAACCCGTGACTAGACATTCACCAATGAGTAGTGATGGTAGAGGTTCTGTTGTTGTAACTGAAAGAAGTTCTGTCAATAATTTGCCATCAAAAGAACAGCACAGTGAAGGTAGACGAAGTGGTTGGATAGATCCATTCCTTGAGGGTTTGTGCAAGTACCTATCTTTCTCGAAATTAAAAGTGAGGGCGGATTTGAAACAAGGGGATCTTTTAAATTCTTCAAATCTAGTATGCTCACTTAGCTTTGATCGCGATGGAGAATTTTTTGCTACAGCTGGTGTTAATAAGAAAATTAAAGTATTTGAATGTGACACAATCATAAATGAGGATCGTGATATCCACTATCCTGTGGTTGAAATGGCCAGCAGGTCAAAGCTAAGCAGTATATGTTGGAATAGTTATATCAAGAACCAGATTGCTTCAAGCAACTTTGAAGGTGTGGTGCAGGTGAGTCAAGCCTTGCTCTTGATTCACATATCTGGCATATATTAGTTTGTTTTAACTAATTGCTTACCATCTTCAGGTATGGGATGTTACAAGAAGTCAAGTACTTATGGAGATGAAAGAGCATGAGAGCCGTGTATGGTCCATTGACTTTTCATCAGCAGATCCAACAATGTTGGCCAGCGGGAGTGATGATGGTTCTGTTAAGCTATGGAGTATCAATCAGGCAATTCTATTTTTGCACTTGGTGGATGTCAGCTTTGAAACTAAACGTACTGCAGTCATCTATTTGCATGCTGTGTATATCTAATTCTGGATGTATGATAAGTTGATTCTCTTATGTGGATTTCTTCTGCAGGGAGCAAGTATTGGTACAATAAAAACAAAGGCCAATGTCTGCTGTGTACAGTTTCCTTTGGACTCTGGTCGTTCCCTTGCATTTGGTTCAGCGGATCATAAAATTTATTACTATGATCTTCGTAATTCAAAGATTCCTCTGTGCACATTGGTCGGCCACAGCAAAACCGTGAGTTATGTTAAGTTTGTAGATACAACGAATCTTGTTTCTGCATCCACTGACAATACTCTGAAGCTTTGGGATTTGTCAACGTGCACATCTCGGGTCATTGACACTCCAGTTCTATCATTTACCGGCCACACAAATGTGAAGGTACTTTCACTCGTTTATTATATCAAAGCAGTTCTAGCCATACATTATTGACAGATATTGTCACTGTTTATGGCAGCTCTTCGGATCACTGTTTTTAAAAATAAATAAAAGATTTATCTGTGCTGTATTTAAGAATTTCAAAATATGCACTATTACATATATGAGATTAAAAGCAACTGTTTCATGATAATTTTGTGTTCTACTAGATGCAAATGTTTTTGTAAATCTTCAGGAGCTCAAACGAGCTGAATTTTTTTTTTTTTGGCAATCATACAAGATTTGTTCTCTGTGTTTACAATGTTAGAGTTATGCCATAGTGTCAGTACAATAAGGAATTAATATTCAGCACCTCCAACATAGGCTGATTCTATGATCTAAACTTATGCTATATTGCTATTTACAATGAAATTTTGTTCTTCACTGACCAGTTTCCTGATTTAAATTTCTTTTATCCTTTCTGGTGGACCAAAAGTTTTCCACCATGAGTTTCTTAATTGCAAAAGCTTCTTTTTCAATTGCCATCTTCATTGGTTATAAATATTTGTGAAGGAAACCCACTAAAAAGAGTGGATTGTTAATGAATAAATACTTTTATACAGTTTTTTAAAGTCAGTCATTGGGATCTATCAAAGTTATTTGAGCCCTGATATTATCTTCATCTACTGAATGCAAGTGAAATATGGCCATAGTGGTTTATAGCTTATGCATGTTTCCCTTGTTGCAGAACTTTGTGGGTTTGTCAATATCGGATGGTTACATTGCCACAGGCTCAGAGACTAATGAGGTAATTTAGTCATTATTCTAGATAATCATCTTCTAGTTACCCCATGCTTTTCAGGTTGTTCACCTCGCTTCTAAAATGCTATGAACAGGAACCCAAATTTTCTATTCTCTTATTTTCTCTGGAAACCTCTTTCTATTGGGTTCAATGGAGGCCTAAAGTGAGAGAGGGTGAACTTTAATTGTGGTTATGGGAATAAGTGTTCTACCACTAAAGCTATGAGCCCCTGCATTTTCTCTGGAGAACTTTGTTGTTTAGAAGAAAAAGCAACATCCAACTAGAGCTTTTCAAGGCTTCTTCTTATACTTTAAGAAAATTTGCCTCTTATAGCTATAAATTAGGAAGATTTATGCTTATCAAAGCCTAAGAAGGATCTTACCTATCTGTTTAGTAATGATGAACCCCGAGCCTTCGGAGCCTTCTTTCTGCATTTCTTAAAGTTAATAATTAAAATTGTCACTCACATGAAAACTGCCAATTAAATTTTGAACAGACAGAGAATGCATCTTCTTTTGTTCAATTTACTGGCCGTAAATGGTTTTCCTTAGTGAGATTAGTGACAGTAGTAATTTAGTAATTGACCAAACTCTAAACCTTATATTAGTAATATAACAACTGCTCATAATCAAGATGCAGACAATATACATTAGTAATTATTTTGGGCCTGAAGAACAAAAGCTCTCTTATAGTTGATGTTTATTTATATTGGTTGATCAGGTTTTCATCTACCACAAGGCTTTTCCAATGCCTACATTATCGTACAAGTTTCAGAACACAGACCCATTTTCTGGCCATGAAACAGATGATGCTGCACAGTTTATCTCTTCTGTTTGTTGGCGCGGCCAGTCCTCCACCTTAATTGCTGCAAATTCGACCGGGAATATCAAAATTTTGGAGATGGTTTGATTTGATTTTAACCTTATGCTCTCCGAGGTAATTCTTGAATCTGGCAGGATGGGTGTTGGGAAGAAAATGAAGTAAAATAATCTTATGCCAGAGAAGCTTGTTAGCTCCTAGGCTTTAGAAGGTCATAGGAACTCATTGTTGCAAGCAACACAGTAAATTTTGGTATTAGATCATAGCGGGATGTGGTTAATGTGAAAAGTGAGAATGTTCTTGTTCAAATGCCATATTTAGATAGAAATTTATAGGAAAAGTAAAGGTAAAAATTGGAATTTCTGTATAATTTGTAATGTTTTCAATTCAAAATCAATTTATATAACCGTAATTTTGAAATGCATCTCTTTCTTATACCACGTTCAAGGCCAGCACTTTCATCAGTGACATTTGAGTTACCAATTGGATCATTTTTGTATTGTCAATGGCCTGGAAAATCATTGAATTAAACTTATATAAAGATGTTATTTTATTTTGGAAATGTTTAGAAGCTTAACTTTTTCTCCTTTGAACTTTTCTTTTCTCAATTTATATGGCAGTTCGTATGCACACTACGTCATTACACTGAAAATATAACGGTGTAGAACTCAATATTATAATGCATGTCGGTGGGAAAAAGAGAAGAAGCAAGGTTGCAGTATTCATGGAATGCAAAATTCTAACTAAAAAGAAAGATTCATTTCTGCATTATGGCTCAAATTCTCTGTTTCATCATGGCTTCAGGGATCAAGCCAGGTGAAGCATTTGTGTCCTGCTACAAAAGTATTACAGCTAATGAAGAAGAGAACAAATCCCGTCAGCTTAAATGATATCGGCCGCATCATAAATTACCCTCCGTTTGGATATCAGCCGCATCATAAATTATCCTCTGTTTGGATGAGGAAAATAACTCGGAATTTAGCTTAAAGTCAGGATTTTAATAAGAGAAATTGACAATTCCCTTGTTTGGCAACTTAAGTAGCGTGGAATATTGAGTTCTACAGCTCCACTCACCCACCATTCTCAATATACACAATTTGCTAAAAATATATATCCCCAAAATTCAACAATTTGGAGAACCAGTTTGATTTGTATTTTACATCTGTAATGACACCTGCTTATGTCATGATTGTAGGGGTCGATATGTTGTACAGAGAGAGAGAGAGAGAGAGAGAGAGAGAGAGTGGTGGCTTGAATGGTGGCCTCGGTGGCGTTGGGTTGGGTAGGGGTGGCGGGAATAAGGGTGGGAAGGGGGAGTTGCCTTCTGGTTTTCTTTAATCTTGGATTTTGTGATTTTTCTACTTTTAAAATTTTAAATTGAATTAGGGTTTTTTTTTCTTTCTTCAAAGTTTGCTTATGTGCCATGTCTTAAACAGTTAGATTATTAGGATGATCTAGATATTGTGAAATGCAGGTATGTATACAACACCTAAATGTAGAGGCTCGGGATCCATATAGTAGTATGATAGTACAGTCACGTGGTATAGTTTGTCCCTTTTTTAGGAAAAAAATATCAATAAATATTCACTTATATTGTAATATATGGATAAGTTATATCACGTAACTGTATTACCGTATTATCCTATAATACATATTTGAAATGAGGACTTTGGATTTGAGTGTGTAATGTAAATTGTTTAATTGCACTAGTTAAATATCAAATTTCTGTGCTAATAAATTCACGCTAATAGAAAATAAATGGGAGAAAATCATTATAAACAAAGAGGAAAGCATGGAGGGGTAATTGAAAATACATGGGAGAAAATCAAATACAACATTTATCTTAAATTTTTTATAAAATAACAAATTGAAAGACTTGAAAAACAAAATTTGAAGTGGACGCCGTACCCCCTTCTTGATTGCCATTTTTTATTAAATGGTCGAACTGCTAGTTTTGTTCTTCTCCATCTCAAATTGTCAAACCGTTGAAATTTTCTTACAGTTTGATGTAATCAATCCCGCATTTCATAGAATGATGATTATTATAAAAGCAGAAATTCTCTCCCGTGATTAATGATTAATGCCAATGCCATTATCATTTATTAGCACTTCTATTCAGTAGAAGTAGTGATGAAGCTCATATTAGTTTTGTCAATCACTTATTTGCATTGCCAACAAATGATGCTTCATGACCATTTGTAACCATCTCCATTTCAAGGCCAATAAAAAATTCTAGCTCAATAAAACACATAAATTCGGAGAAAAGAACGAACCAAGGCGGAAGAACAGTAACAGTACACTAAATATATAATGTATGATTGTAAAAGTTCTAAATGTAGAACCTATCGAAACAATTATGATCAAACTCCTTTCTGGGTTCAAGAATGTGACAACTTAGGGTAATGCTCAATGGACACTGACCTGTCTCAATTCTATCAAGCTTAGCATCAAAATTTGATCCCTTAAACTCCAACAAACTGTTGTCTTGCTTGTTGATGGAACAGAAGTATGGTTTTGTCTTCATTTTACCTTTTTCTTTTCCTTTCACTAATTCAATTTGCAAGAATGTCCACAGAATCTATTTACATTGGTTTTGACCAAACTTAGCTGTCAAAGAAAGCCTACCCACAAGGCGGCGAAGCCTTTCGGCCCCTGGACCTGGTTTGATCTTGTTTGGGTTCCCAACCCTGGAGCATTTTGGTTTGCCAGCACACCAACCACCAGGAGTGAAGCTCCCTTTTCTTCGACGAAGTAAATCCTTATCAATCTTGTCTAGGGCAGGGTCATCGTGTTTGAATTTCCGAGCAAAGGCAGCACCGCTTGCAATCATCTTGTTTGTGTCATTAATGTTGAGGGTGTGAGGATGCTGTTTTGGAGGAATATCCCAAGAAATATAGTGCAAATCATGGTTGACTGCAGTTTTAGCAAACTCTGGCTCATTGCATATGACAGTGTGAAAATAGCCTTCAGGTGAAGAAACAAAGTTTGTGTAGTACATGAGAAGGGTCCTCGGAAGATTGTCCCAACCCCAAACGCAGTACTCTACAAACCACCGAGACAAGACCATCCATGCTGAACCTGCAACGGAGATGCATTTTAATTAGTTGTGCAAGATAGGAACCAAGAGTGACAATGCAGGTATAGAACCAAGATTGACAATGCAGCAGGTACAAGCAATTTCTTTCTTGAACCTTCATGCAGGGGTGCATGTTACTATGTTCTTCGAACCAGAACTGCCATTTGTTGACATATTTATCAAACCACCTTCAATATCTACTGGTAGACTATATTTAGAAGAAAATGTGCAGATTATTTTAACTTTAATTTTGTACAGATCAAAAGTTGCACTGGAACAACATATGTGGAAAGTGCCAACACAATTTGGTTTGTTAGGGATAGCAAACAAACAACAATTCATCAATTTGTGATCTAATGATCCACCTCATGTATTCCGGCACTAGAACTGTTCAAAGTAAATATGTCCAATTTCCAAATTGGTCCAAAGGTTCAAACTTGAACTTTGGAAATTTCAAATTCATCCCCAGAAATTCAACCTTCCCATAAAACCTTTTCCTTGGGAATAAAAACCCAGCAGACATGTTACAAACAAACAGTTCAAGCCATGTTGTATTTTTAAGTAAATCCACCAAAAGGCTCACTAAATACAATTCTAGTAACCTGGAGGCCACTTCTCAGCAGAAAAAAGAAGAAGACAAATTAACCAACAAGAAATACAAGATAAGGTCACAATGGAAACATACATTTGACAAAATTTCTGATGCACACATTATATCAGTTAATCTTCTCAACATTAAGATTTTAAGATTTTGCCCACTTAAATTTTTGTGAGTTGCCAGAAGTCCAAATAACTAGAGGAGAACAAAGTCAATACTCACCAGTAAACAATTTAAATGAAGTAGGTAATGTTCGGCGGGGCGTAACCCAAAATACATCTTGTTTTTTTGATGAGTAGAGACCAGGATCTAGAATTAAAGGCATTGCTCGTTTTTCCCTGGAAAAAGCAAGTTAACATAGTATGAGTTAAAGTAATAATACCTAGAAGTTCTATACATGTCTAATGTGTTGAGTGCACGAAGGAGTAGAGTGGGAGAGTGTAGAGAGAGAGAGAGAGAGAGCTCACTCCTTCCAACCAAGTTGGCTTGTATGCTCAATGAAATTGAGATTTCGATTTAAAGGTGAAAAGGTGTGAAAAAGATCTGTACAACACAAATCAAACAGTTACTTTTAGCACAAAAGCTTACATCCCAAAAAAACTTGACAACTTTAGATGATATGGACTTACCATCTTGAGTAACAAGAGGATAATCTGAGGCGCTAAGGTTGATAAACCAGTCCCAATCCTTACTCCTCCTGAGAAGAATTGCGCAGGCATGAAGAGTATTAGCAACCATGGTCGGTCCTCTGTAAGTTACCATATTAGCTTTCTTAATCACAAATACATTCCCAACTGTATTAAACATCGTCTCGTTGTCCACTCGTGAAGCAAGCTCCAATCTTTCTGCTATTGGTGACTCAAGGTCTAAATGAAGAACATACTGATTCAGCGGATGGTACAGTGCTTGAAGAGTTCTCCAAAGCTTTTCCAAATCCCCTTTTGACCCGGAAATTAGATAGGCAAAACGAGGAATTCCTGGTACTGAAGGAGGGGGTGGACCTTGTGAAACTATATTCTCAGCAAAAGCTGGACTACTTTGGTTTGCTACTACCCGAGATGGGAAAAATGAGAAGATTGAATTGATTGCATGTCGTGAAGAGACAAGACCCAAGTTCAAGGAAGTGGCTAGAAGGAATACGCATATGACAGAGCTTATGACAAGGGGGAATAGCCATTTCTTCTCCATGTTTGCAGAACCCATATCCAATCAACTGTTGTCACATACTCGTTTTCCTCAATTGTCCAAACACGTTGTGGAATTTAAATACCGCACTCAGAGGAGGATTGAGACCGCTTTCTCAAAAATATTCCGGAATTCAGACTTTTGAAACAGCTGTTGAATCAAACACCAAATATTAAAATGAATATATTGATTCATAAATTGTTGTATATAATTCTGGTAAAACAAAGAATATTGGAGCTTGCCGTAAAGATTTAGCTCAAGTACTGGTGCTAAGAACCTCCAAAACAATATAATTTTTTTATAAGCAAGCAAGGAGATAAATGATAGGGACAGGGAAGAGGAACTTAAAAATATAGCAGAAGTGACACAAATGATGCATCAAGAAAATCGACAAGGGACCAGCAGAGGATTCAAACAAAAAAACTAAAATATATAATTAAAGAACGTATTGTAACCCTGTTTCCAATGAGTTAATAAAAATAAAATATCAGACATATACATTGATAATGACACAATTAGTAGGAAAAACCGTGTCTAATCAAAGAAAATTCCTAATCGTTCATTTCCTAATACAATCCCTAATTGCATGTTCACACAAGGTACAGAAAATCAAATTGCAGAAGTCTAACAAGGCAACCATACTAAAAACAAACCATATTGATTCAGTCATGCAAAACAGAGAAAACCCAGATCAGAAATTCACAGCTTTGCACACCCCAAAATAAAAACAGAACCATCCAAGAATCAGATATCACATACCAAGACAGCTGAATCTTGAGCTCAACAGAGAAATTAAACAAAACCCAGAAAAGTTGGAATGCGTTTCGACAGAATTAGCCAACAAAAATCAAAACTTGATGAATAATTCAAGTTACAGAGAAAGAGAGAGAAGCAAAGAAGACAGCTTGAGATGTGAGAAAAGAGTAGAACCTAAATTTGATTATTGTTTTTTCTTTTCTTTGTGTGAAAAAGAAGAGTAAGAGCGTCTATGCACGTTGAGGAATAATAGAATACAAAATAAAAACAAGATTTGGAGAGAGACACAGATGACAGAATCATACAAGGGTTACATATCAAAACGAAAAAAATGAACTTCGGCGAGAGAGAGAAGTGGGCTGTGTTGTTTCAACTATCAGATTGTTTTTTTAATGGAATGTTTACCTGGACTCAGGCGTATCCTATTGTTGGGTCCCTTCTGGGATTCACCAACACGGCAACTGGTTCAACTGTTTCTTCTATTATCTACTCTCTCTCTCTCTCTCTCTCTCTCTCTCTGTATCTGTTATAATCTTTGCGTTTCCTTCTGTACTCTCTGTTTTTCCGTTTTCATTTTTGTTTCGCTGATTGCTTTGTTGGTTTCCTTCCTTTCGGTTTGGTTTTTGTTGGAAGGGGATGAGGAATGTGGTGTTCTCGGCTGTATTGAGTATGGAAATTCCAAGTGGTAAAGTCATGCAGATCAACGGCTGTCGTTTGTCGTGGATTAAGTGCTTGATTTCATTTTACCCAATACATAGATATTATGAGTTGTATTTATTTGCTGTGATTTTTTCATTTTTGGGATGATCAAAGTATTTATGGGGGAAAATAAATATTTTTATTTGGTCAAACTTAAATCTTCATACTGAAGGAAAGCAGTTTCAAACAAAAGGTATAATTTATAAATCTTGGGAAATAAATGTTATAAATCTTCAATCTCGCATTAGAATTTCTAAGGGCTCAGTTATTGTTATATAGTCAAATCTCTTGATTGAATTATGACCAAATACATGTATGTTATTTGAAATATTGACAATTATAGATAACAAGAATTTATTGTCGAATTTACAATCTTCTTTTTTGTGGATAATTATTCTCTTTTATATATATATATATATATATATATATATATATATATATTATTATTATTATTATTATTATTATTTAAATAAGCGATAGTCTAAACTACAGGGAATATGAATTTCTCACACACTCACACAATTAAGATGTCATGGGGGTTTGAATATGAGACCTTTAAGCTAGACCCGATTGACGAATAATTTTTCAATTTGAATGGATAATGTTTCTCAAATTGAGTCCTTCTTTATATGATACATTGTCATTGAATTTAAGAGATTATAACATTAAAATTTAACAATGGTAAAACAATATACTGATACAGTAAACTAAAACTCTCACATAGGAAAAAGAATAAACCAGAAAGCTTAAGGATGGCAATGAGTCGAATCAGGGGTGGGTATGCCATTTCCATCCCCATCCTCATTAAGCATTTTTTCCCTATTCTTGCCTTTGTTGAGGAATGAGTTCCCTAACCCGCCCCATTATGGATAAAATAAAATAAAAAATTTATTTTGTTGAATGAGAAAAAAGTACTTTGAGCACAACAGGATATCAATTCAATTTTTATTAACTAAAAATCTATGTCAAAACTACATGTCAACGACATGATCATCATTATAAAGGTAGTACAACCATCACGCATCTTAATAATATATTTATAAGAAAAATAAATTATATATATTCTAAACGGGCGGGTTCGAGTTAGAGATTAGAATACCATCTTAGCCCCCCCTGAACACCATACTTGAAAAATTCTCTGAACCCGTTCTGATATCCATTTTTTATCTTTCATACTCAATCCATTAGGATCGAAGCCCCGCAAAAGCCTGTACCAGAGGGGAAAATGCCATCCCTAAGAAGGCTTCTTTTTGTTTGGTGGTTTACATAGCTTAATGTAAGTTTGGTAAGATTGCATATGAAGTCAATTTTTATTGAACGAGAAAAAAGTACTATGAGCACAACAGGATATCAACTCAATTTTTATTAACTAAAAATCTATTCTATTTAAAAATAATAATAATAATAATATATATGTCAAAACTACATGTATAAGACATGATCATCATTATAAAGGTAGTACCACCATCACACATCTTAATAATATATTTATATGAAAAATAAATTATATATATTCTAAATGGCGGGTTCGAGTAAGGGATTAGAATACCATCTTAGCCCCTCCCCGAACACCATACTCGAAAAATTCTTTGAACTCGTTCTCATATCCATTTTTTATCTTTCATACTCAATCCATTAGGATCGAAGTTCCGCAAAAGACTGTACCATAGGGGAAAATGCCATCCCCTAAGAAGGCTTCTTTTTCTTTGGTGGTTTCCAAGAATTCCTACTAAAGGCATAGCTTGACGTAAGTTTGCTAAGATTGCATATGAAGTCAGATTTTGGAGCAGAAAAAAACATACTTTCATTGAGAACAAAGGACAAAATTTGGAAATTTGAGAAATAAATCAAACGAACCATGATTTGTTTCTATATGACAAAAAAGAATTTTCCTCATGGAAAATAAAACGGAAGATTATGACCAGCCAAACAGAAATTGGGCTGCTGACTGTTCATTGGCTTTCGACTTATTTGACTTTTATTCAGTTTTTTTTTTCCCTGAAATTTGACATATTTGCAGAACTTCAGATATCCAATTGCATCTTGTTCAGAAAATAAAAGTTTTGGGCCTTCCCTTGAATTACTATTGGTGATTGAGTAGGGTGCACCTTACACCCGTGCACAGGGCATCCGAACCCCATCAATTTATGTCACGCATACGCATTGTCGTGTCATGAATATCACGATGATTTAACAGAAACCAAACATTCTTGAAGGGCCTTTAATGATTCCGTTTACATTTGAGGATGATCTAAAAGCGCTTAGATTCAAAGTCATTGCTCATTTGCAATTAATTTTAAGATTGTAACGTTTTGCAGTTTATGGCAAAAGTTAGGCGCCATCATATATACGGCAGAAGTTATGACATTATAAAAAATCTATTGACTTTCCTTTTGTTTCTAGATTGATCATTTTCTCCATTGATGAGGTGTTTTGTGTGAGTAACGCGTATGTTGACCCCAAAATTAGTATCTCTAATTATATTATACCTTTTTTTTTTTTTACAAGTCTCGCAGAAGTGAAGAAATACCCCTTACCTTTGGGTTTCACATTTGTTGTTTTTGGGTGTGATTTCAATAGAAATGGTGGTTTTGGTGACGGGTGCTTAATTTTCATTGTTGATGTGGGTTTGATTTTAATTGATTGCAGAACTTTAACACATCAACAGATTTTGAAATGGGGTTGGGTGGGGTGGGGTGGGGTGGGATGGGGATGGAAATGATTCTGCCAATAGAGTGGGTGGGGGACTTGGGTCACTTTAAGGATGGAAAAAATCCCCATTAGGTTGTGCCCATAGTCTAAAATATCAATAATATCGACGAAATATTTAGGATATTATCGACACAAAGCGCACATGCAAAGGTGATTCGAACCGCTACCATTTCACTCCTCCAACGCCTTAACCACCATGTTGCTTATGTTGCCTTGGCCGCCCCCATATTGTTATCTCTCCTCTATTATATTATATATAATATATAGAATTTGTAATAAACAACTTATAATTTAAGTTAAAATTTCTTCTAAAACAAATTAGACATTACTTAATTAGAAATATTTAGCTCTAAACATGTAATTATTGAATACTCAGGTGTTTTAGATACTTGTATTTTCTACTTCGGCCACACCAACTTTACAATTCTAGCTCCGCCCCTAATAATACGCAAAAGGGAACTCTATGTGATACCAAGTCGCTCATGTATCTTACCATACAATGTATAAAGTGTAAAATATTGTAGTAAATCGTTATATATAAATGATTTTGGTGTGTTTAATATTCTTTCATTAATTACTACATATTTTTTACACTCACAGTGTTTGTCAGCTCGTTATATAATCAACTTAAATCAATTAAACCCATCATGCAATGCATTTCCTTCCAATTTTTTGTGATAAAATAATAGATAATTGACTAAATAAACATCCTCCAAAGTTTGAATAAAAATTTCCGTGGTTTTTATTCAATTTTTATCAATATCGATAATATCCTGATATTTCCATAGAAATTTTCGTATTTTTGGACTACCGATATTTCTGATACCATCAATATTTTAGACCTTGGTTGCATCCTATCGAGTTCCTAGCCATAACAAAGGGAGATTTTGGAGACAACAAATCCAGACTCATTCTTTGCGGTGTATTAAAAGGGTTTGTCTATAATAGGGTTGGGCAACTGAACCAAGTCAGATAGATAGGCCAAAATCGTCAACCGAACTGGCATTGTTGGTGTAACAAATCTTGAAATCAATATCGAACCACCACACCGGAAATTCGATGATGTCAATTCAACGAATGCACGGTTCAATGTAAGCCAGATTCGATTTTTGATATAAGATAAAGAAGATGTTAATGCAATGCCAAATCTACAACAACAACGCTACAATGCGAGAGAAGAAGATAGTTACACGTTTTGTTTTTCGTTTAATTGATTGACAATTTGAATTAAATAAAAAGAAAATGGAGCAACTTTGTTGATAGGAAGACTGGTTATGTTGGACGGAGGTCCTAACTCGGGCTTGGGCCGGAACGTACCCCGGGCTGTCAGGTTGAATTGATCTTCTAGGATAACCTGCACACTTCAAGTAGTTAGACCATCAAAAGAGGGGAGGCTGGTGTGATACCAGTCAAACCCCCTACGATGGCTACGTTAATGGCTGGTTTGAAGTGGGGAACTGGATACAAAGTTTTTGGGTGAAAATATGTATTACCTTTGTCTCAATGTAGGTGAAGAGTATTTATAGTGTGAGAATGAGAGATCATATCCCCTTAAATTTAGGAAAAAGAGAGATCTTCAGCCATTCCCAATCTCCTTAAATCTAGCAAAAGGTGAGATCTTCAGCCATTCCCAATGATGGGATCAGAGAATGGTTATGGGCACCAGTCACTATGCTGATTATTAAGGACCAAGTAGCAAGACGACACCTGGTTTAGATGTGAAGCGCATTAAATGCTCCATTTCAGCCATCATGCTGGTATTAGGTGCGTGAAGTGACCTGGTCTGATAGGAATTTGGTCGGGTTGAAATACTAGCGCTTCTGCCTTTCTGGTCACATGACGTCACAGTGGACCTGGAGTGATCGACCTAGTCGAGTCGGTACATGAGCACCCCAGCCTTACTTGACTACATGGTGTTCTTTGATAGGCTCGGCTACATGACCTATTAACAAACTTAAATAATTTTTTTAGCTCAAATAGGGCCA